TAATAATAATAATAATAATAATAATAATAATAATAATAATAATAATATTAATAATAATAATATATAATATAATTTATAATAATAGCCATAATGCTATTTATGTTACGTTTATTTTTCACTCCAATAACAATATAATATGAATAGCGCAAGTCAAAAATCCTATTGTGTGTCATAGGTACACTCTATGTCATCCTCCTCTTCATCAATATTTTAGTTGATGAAGAAGTAATAACAAATCGTACACTACGCACAGAAATAGAAATTTGACTGTGCTTTGCACACACACACAAACACACAAAAAAAAAAAAAAAATAGTAATAATCACAAATTAGTTTAAAAATTGTTTGTACTTTACACAAAAACAGAGATATTAAAAAAAAAAAAAAAATTAACACGTGTTTTTGACTATTCTACAGTATTTAAATATCGAAATTATCCTCGCAATAACAAAAGATGTTCTAATTCATCAGCAGAACGTAATAGGAAAGCCGCTGATTCCCTGTAACCAGCAATGAGTTGCCTTACAGTTACCACGTCGGCTTTGTTTAAAAGTTTACTGCTCGGTTGTACTGGTGGTGTTGTTTGGTTAAGCATCGATGGTTGTATTGGAAGCGTGGGCGTAGTGCCACTGGAGATACTGGATGTCGTGTTCATGGTTGGAAACAGCTGTAGCATACCAGTAGTTGAGGACGAGTTGTTACTGCTGATTCGACGGTGGTTGACAGTCGTAGTTGATGTTGATGTAGAGAGGCCTCTAAAACCAGCACCGCTCATGTATCCGCCTCCTGTTGGTGCCGGAGGAATAGCAGCCATAGTACTAGTACCCATACTGTGGGTGGTAGCAGAAAAAGATTTATTAACACTCAGGTCGGTCGGTCCAGCAGTTTCTATAAAATTATTGAAAAACAATTCATTATTAAACAAGTTTGCACATGTATTTTTTTTTTTTTTACTTCAAACGACCTATTATATTTTAGCATTAAAACTCAACAGTTATTTACTATATAATATAATAATATAACCAAAATGTGTTTTGTGTTTTGCCTTACCATTATTATTAGGAGATGAAGATGTAACGCTAGTTCCACTAGTCACATTTGACAAGTTCAATTCGTCATTAGCAGTATTGGTCATGTTTGCCAAATCACCACCAGAACCTCCTTCAACAGATTCAGTTACTTCTCGACGGTCACAGCCATCTCGGTTTTCTGCTTTGTCGTTACCATTGCGATGCTCAGTATCAGCTTCAATAGCATTAGTGGACGTTTTTTCAAAACTGCTATCACCTGCACCGGCATCTTCATCCGATGACGTGGAGGACATTTGTAATGTGGCTCCGCTACTTCCATTTTGGTTTAATAGTAGAGTACCAGAAGGTTGTTGAAATACATTAGATGTCGATGTTGAAGCAACCGAATACGGATAAGGCTGTGCAACGGGTTCAAGACCAAGACGCATTCGTCGAGCATTATCCGACTCTCGTTGACAAGCTACTGCCAATATAGTTTCAGCCTGGGCACTTGTTAAATGTGCTGGAGTGGGTCTTTGCTATAAAACAAATATCATAAAATTATAAGAAAAAAAAAATGGTATTTATTGTCAATATATACCGGTTGTACTGTTGGATCAGAAGAGGAACCATTTGCTGGCCATGGATTAGTGGGTGGAGGAGGTGACGATGAAACACCTCCGGATTGTGGCGTATTTCGCTTATTACGGCGACATGATTTCAAATAAGTTCTGATACGCTTACGTGACCTGTCTGAAAGTTCAGGAAACTGTCGTCCACACGAGTCAATAATTGCCTGTACCTTATCTTTGGGCTGTCTGCTAATTGGCACTTGTCTATCTAAATTTTCGTCCACAAACAACCGGACAAACATCTATATTTTGGAAATTATTTATTAATAAATTGATATAACTGATATATTATTTTTTAATATAACAAATATCTCACATTGAATGCTTTTAAACGCTCCGGATCAATATGATGTTGAGAAGATGATCCAATGGAATGTTGATGTTGCTGCTGTGACAGAGAACTGGCAGAAGTTGTGGTAGTTGAAGGCTGTTGCCAGTGCTGGCGGTAGCTTGTAGTTATGCCTGAATCAGTGCCATCATTTGCATTGTTATTGCCGTTACTAGCACGTTGTAGTTGTCGTAAACGTCTGACTTGTTGCCTGCGCAATCGCCGAGTTTGTGCAGCATTTCCATCGCCACCATCTGCATTTCTTTCTCCTTCTTCTTCATCTGCATCTTCTTCACCTTCTTCAATATCGTCATCATCAAGGTCCTCCTCCTCTTCTTCTTCATCTTCTTCGTCTTCTTCATCTTCCTCATCGTCAATTGCCGCGTCATCTTCGTCTGCGTTCATTGCATTCTCAGCACCAATTCCAATATCGTTACCAGTAACAATACCGTTAGTAGTGGTCACTGACATACCGTTTGTTTCTTTGGATGGAAGTCGATATGAAGACGAAGGCGATGAAATTGGTGGTGGTGGTAATGATGGTAGGACTTGTGATCCAGCTGTAACTGTGGCCAGAGAGTTAACCGACGAACCAAATAGTTGCTGAAACTTTGGAGGTGATGACATACTGTGATGATGTTGCTGATGCGCTGCAGTGAGAAGGCCCAAAGGTGGCCAGAGCACAGTTGTCGTGGTAGTCGGGAGTCCAGATGTCGAAAAGCTGCTGTTTTCGTGCAAACCAGTACTGCTTGTGGTCGTATCAGCGTCATTTTCTAAATTAAAAAATAAAGTGTATTTGTATAGTACACATCAACGAATGCGTTGGAATTGTATTAGCATTATTGTTGGGCGTTTTATTTAACAGTTAATAACTTACTAGAATTCAATAGTCTTGGTGAAGGCGATGATGTTGTGGAGGACGTAGGAGTCCCACTTCTTCGGTACAGCTGTTGTTGTACTGTCAATCCTGTACCACTGGTACTTCTGCGTTTGTTTGTACCACTGATATTGTTGTTTTGGTTGTAGTGATGCGCCATCGGAGGCAAAGACAGTGGCAAATTTGGAGGTGGTGATGTCGAATCACCTGTCGAAGACGCTGCGGCTGCGGCCGCGGCTGCTGCGGTGGCTGCGGCAACAGCAGCCGCCGCATACTGTTGTAGTTGCTGTTGGATGTGCTGATGATGATGATGATGTGCAGGCGACAACCCGATGCCCGCAGCCGAATGAGGTGGCAGGGCGAGCGGTGCCAGTGGTGACAAGGCGTGGTGATGTGCAAGATGCGAGTTGGGGTGTAAGGACGATAATGGTCCACCGGGCGAGATACCACTGCCGACGGACGACGGAGGGCTAAAGAGCAGAGCGGCAGCAGCCGCGGCTGCCGCGGCCGCCATTGAGTTGTCATCCGCCGATCCATCCACGTCCATCATGTTACTGTTGTTAACAGAATCGTTTGCCATGTCTAACCAATGCCGGTGGAAATTATGGTGACTGTTGCTGCTGGTAGTAATTGTATCTAGCGACTTCTGGAAATGTAATAACATATAATTTTATTATATACTTTGAATCCAAGTTCAATTGATATGATAAGTTTCGATTTAGTTTTAATTACTAAAGCATATTGAGTTTCATTCTAAATTGTCAAACATAATTTTACGAACCAATGCTTTTTCTTAAGAATAAATACCATTATTATTTAATAAGCAAAATATCTTCAAGTATAATAAGTCAATTTTTAAATATAAAATAATTATATTTTATAAGTACCGCTAGTGAAGACGGCGATGAAGACGTTGCAAGACCATTCATAATACTCCTGGATGTGTGATGCATATTATAAGGATGGTGACCAGTGCCATTAATCCTTTTGTTTATAGGCGAATGTAATGCTGCACTCTTTTCCTAGAAATTAAATTACAATTTCATTAAAAACACAGTTCATAAACATTTTTATACACCTAGTTAAATAAGTCATGATTAAATAACATAAATTATAAAGAAAATACCCCAAAATATAAATACTTTAATCTATATTTCAGAGTTGAAAATTATAAAAAGAAGATTGTAATTTGGTTATAACCAATTTTAACGAATTTTAATTTGATTACTATATAAGTACTAACATCATCTTACACTAAATTCAAAATATACTTATAAATATAGTTTAATTTTGACTTTATACGATAGAATGAATATTGTATTATAATTTATATTTATTCAAATGTTTAGTATCTCGAACATTTTTATCGTCGTAATTAGTTTTATCTATTTAACTTATTGATTATATTATATAACGTATATAACTTATAATTATATAAACCGTAAACATTCTGAAAATATGTTTCTTTAACTTATAAATGTCACACTAATAGAAAAACATTTGTTTAATAAATATTACTATAATAATTGTATTTTTATGTGTTATCATATTTACATATTTAATTATTTTTATACATACATATTATATTATATATATTATATGTACCTAGAATTAATGGTTTTTGTATGTATATATCATTTAAAGAAAATATTTAAACATAAAATATTTAATTATTAAAACATTTAAAAAATAGATGGATATTGAAGTTTTTTTTTTTTAGTGAACGCTACAGGTTAAGTTAGATTAACTGTTAAGTAACTGTTATTAGTTTGAAATCGAAAGTGTACAGTACGAATTTGAGAGGTGTATAGCACTCGAAAATAATAAATAAGTATACATAAAAATTAGGTTTAAACAAATTCATGCGTTTATCTTAAACGTTACAATAATAATTATGGTATAAATGTGTTTTGTTGTAAATAAGTTTGATCAAGAGAAATACAAAAATTTGAATCTTTGATAAATTAATTCTTAAACAAAATAAAAAAGATATTAGAGATTAAGACATTCTAATCTGAATTCAAATACTAAAATTAAATTGTAAATAATTTACTTTTTTATTAATAATTTATTTTTCGATGGTACTCGTAATATTATAGTTTATAATTTGGTAGGATTAATTATTTTCAACTATCAAACAAAATTATTTTATAATGATTTAAATTTTAACTAAGTAGTAAAATTTTGATTTGTTATGTTTTGCATTGTCAATATAAATACGTTGTATTAATGTTCATAATACATTTTTACCAATTTTAACACATATTTTTATTTTGATACGATAATATTGGAGCCTATATTAAGTATGGTTAATGTTTTCGTTCGCAAGTGTAGTAGATAATATTTGTTAGTTGTTAATAGCAATATCGAAGTATAATTATAAAATTAGAAATTGAATCTTAAATATTTGAAAAAACTCATTAAACACACGGTAGTTAAAATATTTATCTAAAAAATAACATTTTAATATGGTATAAATTAGTTCATATTTATAAATAATTATATTTTATGTTACATCATAGAAAATTAAAATAAGAGGTAAATGATTCTAAAATTCAATTTTTCATGAAAATAATACATAATATTATATAGAAGAAATATATTTGTTATATGTTTATTTTTAAAAATGTCTGTAATGAATGTATATGAATAGTAAATCTATGATTCCACTTACGACAGTATTTTATAATGCATATAAAAATAGGCATAGGTTATGTTTGGTTACCTAAAGCACCTATAAGGTACTTAAATATCTACATTTTTTATAATAATTATTGGAGCTATGTAGTAGGTACGAGTAAAATGTTCTCGTGTTTTGTATGAATCATAAATTGAGCAGGGGTGTTGGTAAAGACACCTCGGTTATGATTATATACATCAGACACGTAACAGAATTATATTTTTCCGATACTTTATTTGTTTTGGAAAAACATCAGTTGGTGTGGGTATTCAATATCTCTACACATTAATACAAGGTATTTAAGTTGTCCTCGATCAGGGTCTAACAATACATGCATAGCCAATATTTACGCAGAAAAACCAATAAGCTATTTAAAATGACGATGTATAATTTGTCTTGTTCAACTTTTTCAATATTATTCAATACCTTTGGTATAAATATTTTTTTCTTGTCATTAAAAATATAAACATAAATTTATTTCGCATAATATTATTATACATGCAAATTGCATTCGTTCTCAAAATAAGTACCTATACAATCAAAGATGAGAGCTAATAAGTTACAATAGTATTAAATACTATAATAACGCGTATTGATTTTAAAGACTGTTATTTTGTATACACGATAAGTTTATTTGGCATTATAATATTTTTCAAATCGAGTAATTGTATTCTTACATTTTAATGATGTTGAACACGATTTGAGTAATTTATTAGAAAACATAAATTACAATATTCCGGATAAAATACAAAAGGCGATTGATTGACACTTTTTTCACTTCATTCACCTCGTGTTAACAATAATTATGTTATTCAATTTGAAAGCAAAACACACAACAGTTATACCCGAATTATCACACATTTCGTTCGATAAACGATTCTAAACGGAGCTCATACAAAAATCTCGTTGTTGACGTTTTGTCAAAGCCATACTTGCTGACAATATATTTACAACAGTCTTCGGAAATTTTTAAGAGTTTTCTCACGCTTGAAAAAGCTGTTGAAAAATTGAAATTAGATTTTCGATCCATAAAAAGATATCACGAGAAACTTTTGATCATTACTCCCATAAAAAAAAAAAAATCGTTACAATATAAATATCATTATAAAAACTATATAACCCAATACTTTTCTCACTTTACTTAGAATCTAAAATTTTAATTTTTTGCCAAAGCGTGTAAATATACGTAACGCGTAATAATCATGAGCATGCAAGTGCATTTCGTATTAATTAATATATTATTGGCTAATATTTTAATGTATTATTAGTTGCGTATTCATTATACTTGTTTAACGTATAAATGATATATGTATCAACAATTCTATTAGCTAGTTTATTTAAGTACACACATGATTTAAAGTGTTGTTTATTTCCATTTAAAGATAACATGACATTTATGATTAAAAATCGTTGTATTTACACTAAAAATGAAAAATAAATAAACACACAAAATGCTTTCTAAGTAAGTCCGTATACACAGGAATTTCTTTTATTGTTTTATTTAATTCCCGTTGTCTTTAGTAAGTCACTTAAGAATTGAGAACACGTAAATCTCCTATTAGTATTAAATTTTATTGTGTTTTATATAAATCCTTCTTTTTTAAAACTTTGATGAAGTATATAATCATTTAACTTTATAAGTACTTGAAAATTGTTAATGTATAAATGAAACAATTTAAATTAAAAATCATAGATCATAAGAAAAGAATAACAGTACAATATGTAAAAATGATTTGAATTACTTTATATAATAAAATCATTTAGTAAAAAATGCCTGGGTATTCATTTATTTATTTATTTATTTATTGAAATATTATGCGGGCTTGGATCCAATTAAATGAATTAACTTAATACATAGCATTCGAAGATATTTTTAAACAGCAACAATAACTAATTTAATAAAAACAATTAAAATAGAAATATGTGTATAAGTAAATTAATTTATACGCGTAAATAGATAAGCAGAAACATGATTTTTAAATAATTGAAAGGAAACATAATAAAACCTATCAATGTTTTAATTGTTTAAAAAATGTATAATACTTAAAAATGGTGTGTTAGTAGCATAATTAATAGTTTCAAGTTTAAAATTTTAAATAAATTTATTGATTGGGTGTGAGTTGAGGAAACTTTGAATGATAGACGACTTAAGAAGTTAGGACAGTCAATATAGCTTTTTAATAACTTACAAATAAAATATAAATCAAACCTGATTCTGCGCTGTTCTAGGGATTCAAGATTTAAGTAAGTAAGTAAAGGATAGTAAGTATATGGGGAGTTCTGGGTATATTACATTTGAAAGCTAAAAAGCGTAAGAACTTATTTTGAACTTTCTTAAGGGTAGTTATTAATCTAATATTATATGGTGACCAAATAATAGAACCATATTCTAAAACTGAGCGCACTAAAGAACAATACATTTATTTAAAAGTATTTTTATCATTGAAGTTGACATAGCTTTTATAAATGAAACCTAGCAATTTTAAGGCTTTATGATTATGCAGTAAATATGAGCATCAAATATTAATTTAAGTTCAAAATATATATCTTAATAACGTCAGTTATTCAGGGCAGATGTATACAATTGATATTTTAGTCAAAAAAAGTATTGAAATGTAAACGAAAGAGTTATACAATTTTTTTGTACTGATTAAAAATCAAGTTTAAATCAGATTGCAATAATGCAGTGCCCTTAAAACAATTTATAACACGGTAAAGTTTAATATCATCAATAAAAAAAACTTAGAACTATTTAGAAAAGTAATTTCATTAATATATATTAGAAATAAAATTAAGGGTAATAACCTTGAGGTAGATACACCCGATGAAACTAATATTAGTTCCAACTAAAATTCTTTATAAACAGCAATTTAAGTGCGCTTTAAAATATAAAACTCAATCCAACGTAAAAGTGGGCCACGCATGTCTACATAATTCAATTTATGTAAAAAAAAAAAAAATAGAGTGATTGACTTTATCGAAAGCTTTAGCAAAGTTAGTATAAATAAAACTGAAAAATCATCAATTAAAGAATGTTTAAGTATTAAGGAGTTGATAGCAGTGATTCAGACAGCCTAAAAATTAAAACAATATTAATTATCAACAATATTTTTGTTTAGTTCTGGAGTTATCTTATCTGACATGATAGATTCAAATATTTTTGGTGCAATTGAAAGTAAAGAAGTTGGTCTGTAATTTGAAATATTAGCTAAATCATATGATGTTTTAGGAATAGAACGGATAATACTTATTTTGTTTCCCATATATCTAAAAAAATTCTACGAGACAAAAATAAATTAAAAATTTAAAACAGAGGAGGACATTGTTGATAAAACTGGTAAG